TGTTTGAAGCGCCGCGTTGGAAGGGCACTCCCAGCATCTATGTTGGTCAGTCTGTAACCACAACACTGGCAAGTTGGGTCATCTATCACTCCGTATTCAAGGAGTCGCTGTCTGCGCCGCGTGGAACCTGTCGTGACACACTGCATCTCCCCTTTCCATTGAAAATCGCCTCTGCTAGCTGCGGTCTAGTATTGCCTGCGGGCGCCTGTCATGTCTGGCACTGCCTGCAGACCCTCTCCCATCCAGGAGTTGAGAGCAAGCAGCTCCTGCCCAGAGCTTCCTACCAATACTGCCTGCAACGCAGGAAACGGCAACTTGGCGTCCGGGGGGCCTCGGCCTAAAAAGGACACTGGGGCCTCGAAGGTGTCGCCGATGTCACTGCGCCATCGCCGCGGCCCCTCAAGCTCCCACCTTAAATCAAAAACCGCGCAGATTGTTGGCGCCATTGGGTAACGGACCCTCTTCAAGCGGGCGTTGGGGCTGGCCCTCATGAGCCCGTTCAAAACTTCCCCCCAGGAGCGGGCGCCGTTGGAGCTCGCCTGGCCACGGGCAGCGGTGGCCGAGGTCGGAGCTACCTACGCACGGAGGGTCCTTCCTCGAGCAAGGGCAAGGGCTGCAGCTCTGGAAATGGATGCACATCGTTCTCTCTGGATGAACAGGGTGCTCGCATGGAAATATCAGATGGCGACATGCAATTGTACATGGGCACAGGTTTGAGCGAGCGGGACATTTGCAGCTGGTATTCCACGAAGCATGTGCTTCGGGGCGAGGATGGCTGCATCATCAAAAAACGTCCAATCGTCGGTCGACCGCGAATGACGGGGCTCGTGGGAGGAAACGCGAGATCATCGAGGAACGACATACAGACCGCGAGCGTGGATGCTCCCGATACCAGCAGCACCGCCCGAGATGCCCCATTGACTGGCCATCGCGAAGCCCACATCATCGGGCCACGCGGTGGCATCCTGACCACGGCGACGGTTTTGGAGGCACTTGCGAGTCAGAGGCTGGTTGTCTCGAACTGGACGACCTAAATGTCTCGGACATCGAGCGGGACTGGCACATGCTTCCTGAAGACCATCGCCTCAAGAAGTATCAACGGGATCATCGCGTCCTCCACGATGAGAACGACGACCACGAGGACAGTGACAAAAGCAGCCAAAGCATTCCTCGAGACCGATCCCATAGTACTACAGGCCAGATCGTTGGTAGCTCAAGTGCTTCCCCCCTGAGAATGCCCTCCACGTCCAGACAACACCGAGGAGGAGGCAGACCAGCGTGAACGCGCCCTTGAGGAGGAAGCAGACGATGTTGGACACGCCCCTGACGAGGAAAAAGAAGGTTGACACACCCACGATGAACAAAACGGCCCTCCATCAGGAAAGAAGTTACGACCAGGACAAGCAGTGGACCTGGAAGATTCCGACGAGGATGATAAGCCAGGAGGGGAAGACAAGTCAAAACAACCATCAATTCCTCCAAGACCTCGTCTCCCTGCTGGAAAATATGCCCCATCGAATTCCCAGGAAGCCTGGACAACGCCGATCCAAATTGGAAACCGACTCCCAAATTGCCGACAACGCCCACGGACAACAGGCTCAAACAACAACAACAAAAACGACGCCCACGATCAGCCAGAATTGCGAGCCGCGCTGCCCCATTCCAGGGGAGCGCTACACCCAAGCCAACTCAACTGCTGACCGCTCGATCGGATGCATCGCAGTCGGCCCATATGCATCGAGGCATACGCTGGGCCCCAACGCTGCGCGACGCTGGCCTCCAGAACTACAAGGGCAAGACCAGCCCAGCGACGGGGGCATCGGATGCACCACCAGCAAAGGCCATCCCAAGGCTAATGAAGAACTTGATGAAGACGCGCAGCGATCCACCTCCGCGAGCAGCAGGAGTGGACGCACGCGACCTCAATCGTCATGCCAAGGAGTTGAGTAGCCAAGACACTGGCTCAGACATAACCGCGATGTATCCAAAACGACAGCCGACAGGCAAACGCCGACGGGCAAACACTTACAGACAACCTCGGAAAACAAAGGGGCGCAACCTGCCACAGGACCACATGCTGCAGCATCAGCAGTTGCAGCATCGGCAGCCGCAGCGCCAAAAGCTACTGCGCCAGCAGCTACGGCAAGCCAAGTGGCCGCCACGGCCCCACCAAGGGTGGCCACGCCCAGTTACGACGAAGTAAAATGCGGAACTCGCGAGATCAACTTTCCCCCGAGCGCCGCCACAGAAAGGCGTCAGCAGTTTGTGCGCAACCAGCTCCGAATGATGCCATCGTTAAAGCTTTCTGTGCATGGTCCCATTCTTGAAGCAGAGATGTACTGGGTACTGGGCAGCACTGAGCTGAACAGGGCTGAAGCTGGTACTGAGCGGCACTGTACAGTAGCTGAGGATAGAAGCCAAAGTGGCAGAGCCCAACCCAGTGAACCAAGGTACGGTCCAAAAATGAGCCGAAGCGCCGAGACCTGCGGGCCTGCGAGGCGCGGGCAGGGCGGGGTGGATGGCAAGCACTGGCACCGCGCAGCACGGAGCGGTACAGAGCAATACGGGAGCAGCCCGCGGAAGGACGGAAGTAGGGGGAGCGGGACGGGCGCCCAGAGTCTCGACCCGTGCCGACGGGGGGGCACCCCGACGTCGGCAACGGTGGGGAGCGCCGAGACCAGGAGGGCCAACGAGGCGCAGGCGCGGAAGAGAGAGACGGCCTGGCGATGCGCAACGGCGCGGCAGCCAGGGCAAAGACACACACACACACACACACACACTGTGGCTATGACACGCGGATGGGCCTGTCAGCCCACGATCAAGCAACTTTGACCATATCTTGTGGGAGCGTGGACCAAGCAGGAGCCCTCGGTGAAAGTCGGGCGTAGCCACACACACACACACACTGTGTGTGTGTGAGCGTTGCGGCTCGAGCAAATCAGTCATGGCGTCCGGAGGTCCCTCGGGCGCCCATGCGCCGGCAGATAAGAAAAAACAGAGCCCGCACGATGCAGCAGGACACTCAAGCGCGCACGCACGCACGGACGCACGCACGCACGCACGCACGCAAGCACGCGCGCACGCACGCACGCACGCACGCACGCACACACAAGCACGCACGCACGCGCGCGCACACGCACGCACGCGCGCACCGTGTGCTGGCGAGTCAGACAGCGTCTCAGGACGCAAGCGGCGGCCAGCGTAAACCCGGCAGGTGCGCGGAGAGGGGGGCACGCACCCAAGGCCTTCGACCCTCCGCATGTCGACCGGAAACCCAGGCGAAGGAAGGTGGCCATCTCGCCCCTCGCCCTCCCCTCGCCCTCCCCTACCCTCGCTCTCGCCCTCCCCTCGCCCTCGCCCTCCCCTCGCCCTCCCCTCGCCCCTCGCCCTCCCCTCGTCCTCCCCTCGTCCTCCCCCGCCCTCCCCTCGCCCTCCCCCACCCTCAGTTCATCAAGATGAGTACTACTCGCCTTTCTCCCAAGGCATTGCGCGCATGTGCTCCCGCCTCTGTCACGCAGTGTGTTTCGCACGGGGCTCTTGAGAGCATACCATATTAGATGCGCCTGTTTAATCGGAAAGCTCTGGGTCCGTCAAAATGATGTTCCCACTGAAGCGTTGGTCACATTTCAGACTCGATGCCTTGCTCCCGTCGCTCAGAATGGCGCTCTCGCCCCAGCTCGGGCCAGGTTCCTGGGCCCGATTCGCTCGTCGTCGTTGCCGCACCCCTCTTTTCCCCTCCTCCGCCTTTCGCTGATCCTCCTGCTCATCCTATTCCTTCTCATCCTGCTCCGCATACTCCTCATTCGTGCTTCTCCTCCTTATTCTCCTCCGCCTCCTGTTCATCCGCATCTTCCTCCTCTCCTCATCCTCCTCCTCCTCCTCCTCCTCCTCCTCCTCCTCCGCCTCCTCCTCGGCACAAAAGCCTGACTATTCAATGCAATTGGAAGGGATGGGTGGAAGGGGTGGGATGTCAGATATGGCGCGAGCATGCCTAGTCTGTCTCCTTTCTCTCCCCGTCCCTCCCCTCCCGTGGGTCTCCTCCCCCTCCACTCCCCATCCCCCTCCCTCCCCACTCCCTCACCTCCATCTCTCCTCTACTCTCCCCCTCCTCCTCATCCCCTCTCGTTCCCTCGCCTCCGAGGTTGGCCTGACGCGCCGACGACTTCAGATGCAAGATGTGGTTTCTGCAAGCTTCGCAGACTGGTAAAGTAGGGGCACAGTCACAAATCTGCAGAATGCCTGGCTGAGCTGTCGGTTGTCACGACTGGACATCTCCGAGGAAGTGTGGAGGAGGAGGAGGAGGAAAAAGAGGACCAGGGAGATGCCAGCGGCAAGAGTAAGGGAGGACGCCAGCCAGACAGCAACTGATCCTGGCCGGACCAGACCTGGGTCCAGGATGGGCTGGCAAGTCCTGGAGGGCTTACACGATGATCCTCTGCCCAACACAGACCTCTGATAACTCGATTTGTTCGAGCCCTCAGCTCCCGCGCCTCGCGACTCCTCCCCCTGGGCTGGCTCTGCATCCTGAACCGTTCTTGGGCGGCCCGGGGGCCCGAAAACATCCCCAAGAGACCGCAAATTGGTACAGTGAGACGACGGCAGCTCAAAATCTAATCCTGGACCGCTCCCAGGGTCCCTGACGGGCGGGTCGGGAAGGCGGGCCCAAGGGTTGACCCAAGGGGCCAAGTCGAGAAGGCGTGTTGCTGAAGCGTGAATACGGCATGAATCGCGAGGAGAGCTCGAGTGATAACGCGATTCCCAAATAAATCGTGAGAAAGGCCAAGGCGAGACCGTGATTCCTGAGTGTCGAAAGCGCGGCGTCTGAATAAATATTAATTGCGAGGACTTCCCACTCGAGAGCACGATTCCTGCATTACTTGTGAGAAAATCCCGCGCGAGAACGCAACCCGGGAATACACTGTGAAGAATATTAGGCGGGAGCCGATGTTGTTGTAAACCAAGGGCCAGGGGCGAAGTTTTTTTTCCAGCGCAAAGTCTGTGAGAAAAAAGAGGAAAGCTGAAGGGAACGATTCGGACAGAATTCTCACAACCACTCGCAGCGCCAGCAAGAATCGACAACATGCATTGCGTGCGAAACCTTAGCGGGGTCAACCGCTTGTATAAGAAACGGAACGGCGGCCGATCGCAACGCCGAGCGTAGCATAAGCAAAAGCACGATCGCTCCGGGCTCGGGCTGGGCAGGAGAAAGGCGAGGAGAGGAGAGTCAACTGCGTCAGCCAAAGAGACTCGCGTGCGCAGACTGGCCAGGGCGGACGGCACTCGCACAGGAACCCTCCCTCGCGAGCACAAGCGGTTGAGGAGGAGGAGGCTGAGAAGGAGAGCAAGACGTGGAGAACACAAAACCTGCGGGGATATTGAAACGCACTGGTGGACTTGGTGACCCTTTGCAACAGATAGGGGCAACCGCGAACGAACGTGTCCTGGAGGACGAAGCGTTATTCGAATAGAGTTTTGTTCAAAGTAGTCAGGGCCTACGGCAATGACGGCGCGGGACTGGAGCGGCCCCAAGGGCCCAAGCATGAGGGACGGCCCACAAACACTGGCAATCACATGCACATAGACACGCCTGCTCCGGCCATCGGCATGGAGCATGCAATAACCGAGCAAATTCACTATACAATCGCCTCGAGCCTTGAGCCTCGACCCCAAAAATGGACGCACACAGGCTTCGCGGTGGCAGTCCAACTGGTCGAAGCCGGGGACCTGGCATATAACGCCCGGAACAGACCAGCATGCCTGGAACTACAAACCCGCACCACGATTCGGAGGAGGGGGGCGGAGAAGGAAGAGGGAAGGAAAACGAAACGACTGCTTATGACAAAACGTGCCAGGGACGGGCCACCCGTGACAATATTGCCAGGGAGAGTTCCTCAAACAACCACTGGCGAATTCAGAAACTACCCACCTGCACCGTGCATCGATGAACCACGCCAACTGGTATCTCAACAAGCTGCCCCGCGCGAGCACGGAGGCAACAGCCTCGGACGCCAGGCGGGCGGACAAATCGTGCCCCCCCGACAACATTCTGACCGAGGAAACCAACACGAATTCACAGGACCATCGCCAGCAAGATCGCGCACAGCCAAGCTCGGGGCCATTGCTAAAATGTTGTTTTCTCGGCCCAATGTCTCGGCAGGCCTCCCGGTGGACAGGCGGCCTCTATGGTACGGCAGCGAATATGATACAAATGTGGCACGCATTCGTATCAACGCGGCGGGGGGGGGAAAGGGAGGGGAGGGAGGGACTGGGAGTCAGAAAAAGTGCGCTTCACAGCGGAAGAAACCAGAGACATCGCCTTTGCGTGCCTCCGGACGCCTTCCCGAACAAAGCCGCGCGAGCGACCGGTCACGTCCGAAGTGCCGCCCTGGCGCCGGATGCTGTTGCGGAGCCGGTACAAGGCGTAGACCCCCACTGCACGAAACGCAGCTGCCTGGGGCGCGACCCGCCCGCGCCCACGAGGCACAGAAGCCGGCGACGGCGCAATGCCGAGGAAGTCCGTGAGGCAGCTGTCGACAGGAGGTTTGCAGAGTCCCAGCCAGCGCCAGCAGAGCTCGTGGAAGCGAGGGCTGTAGTGTTCCAGAGCATCGTGGCAGCCTGGGCAGTCCAGGCCAGGACACAAGCGGCGCTCCGTTGCCTAGTAACCCACCCATTGAAAACTGCACGAAAATGACACGCCTGAGCGCGCGGCGGAAGGAGCGTAGAGACGGCCCGCACGCTCCGCAGCCACCTCGCCACTCGGCGCTCAGGCAACACTTGGATGTTCCACTCGTCCAGCCGACGGCGGGCACGCTGTTGAACCTCCAGGTCCCTGAGGACCCTGAGAAGTTTGATCGCCCGAGCCTGCCATCCGTCTCGCCGGTGCTCTTCGCGCCCGATCTGTAGCATGAATGCGCCGTCTGGCCGTGGTTCCTGCAGCCGCGTCCACGCCGAATCCAAACATGCAATGAAGCAGCTGGTGAGCCAGGCCGAGCAGTAAGCGGGGCAGAAATGACCGCCCGCCATGGAGATTTGCAGCCTCATTGACCGCGCTCTCCGTGCGACCTGCATTCCACCGCGGGCTGAGTTTTCATGGACTGCCACTCGGGCGCGGGCCGCCCACGAGGACGCGTGGATGTCGGGAAGCTCGATCGGGAACGCCGCAAACTTCGTGCCCTTCAAGAACCGGGCAGCCATCCAAGCGGGGGGGCCTCGGAAGAGCGAGCGGCAGGCGCGAGACTCGAAGTCGTCGCACTGGGGAGGCAGGGGATCCAGCTGGGCGACGAACATCAGGACGGAAGAGACGAAGACCCTGTAGGCGCCCACCGAGTGAAACAAGCCCACTCCCATCGTGCCGCGCCCTCTCCATGTACTTCTTCAAGGCGGCCCCCCACGATAGAGAACCTCTGTCAGGACAAACGTAGAAACCCCAGACACTTGGCCTTTGACTCTACAACCAAGGACCCCCACAGGGGAGCGAGCTCCGCCAGGCGCGCGCGAATGTCGCCCGGGTCGAACTGGCCGAGCGGAACCAGTACCGTCTTGGACACATTGAAGGCCAGACCCGAAATCCGCTCGCAGTCCTGGAAGATGACCTGGGCGCGGCCGATGACCTTCCAAGGGCCAGGGTGCACAAACGCTGGGTCATTCGCGCAAGCCCGGAGAAAACGGTCGGGAATCTGCCGCGCGAGCCTCCTCAATGGCACGTCCTCCGCGGCGGCAAACAAGAGCGGTGACAGAGGGCAGCCTTGCCAAATGCCACGGCTGATGGCGACGCCGCTGCGTCGGCAGCCGCCCGGCACAATCTGGCACCCGTTGTTCGCATAGAGCACGGAGACGAAGTTGAGCAACCAAGCTGGCCAATCCAAGGCCCGGAACACTTCCTGCATCGAGTCATGCTCCACCGACGGGAACGCCGCCGGGAAGTCGTTGAACATGGCGCCCCCGTCCTCCGACGAACACGCGCTGCTGGCCACGGCCTCGTCGATGTCCACCAGGTTGGCGAGCATCGACCGCCCCCCGATGAATCCCAGCTGGGCCGGTGAGACCTGCACAACCCACCAGCGGCTCGATAACCAGGCGCACCGCGTCGGCGAGGGGCCGGTAGTCGGCGCTCGTCACGTTGAGCGGGCGAACGTTCCCAACCTCATAATACCCCTCCCCAGTGGGGGTGTGGCCCGAGATCTGTTTCGGCGAGAAGAAGAGCAAACTGTTGTTGAAGTCCTCGCACTCCTCGCTGGCGAGCTCTGGGCGCCCCTCCCCGCGCCCGCGGCCCCCGCGCATCCCCTGGGCGGCGTCGAAGAGAACCTGGACCGCCAGGTCCACAGCTCGGCGTCAGGCGAGGAATGGGACGCCGTCCGGGCCTGCCGCGGAATTGTCGGATCCCTGCGCCGCCTCGCGGACGCGCTGCCGCCCCGAGCGGGCGCTGCCCAAGGTCGAATCGGAACGGTGCTGCAACCGTCTGTCGTCGCGGCCCTCCTCCAGCCAGGCTTGGAGCAAGGCACGGTCGATCTGGGACGCCTGGACGTCTCTGCTCAGTAAGAGCAAAATTCAAAGGCCATGGTACTAGGCTCGACCACCACATCTCCCCGCCGGGTCTGCGCGGCCCAAAGATTGCAGGTCCGACCTGGCGCAGTGCGAAAAGTCAAGCGCGCGTTCGTCTGCCGAGCCTGTATGGCCATCTGCTCGCTCGCTCCCGCCAGGTCCAGATGCGACTCCCCCAGCTCGTCGATCGCGCGCTCGCGGGCGAGCTGCACCGCGTGGCCTTTGACTCTGTGGAGGTGCCTGGAGAGGTTGCCGTCGATCTGGCACGGGTTGTCCGTCAGCTCATTCAGCAACGGGTACTGGACCAGGCACGCCGAAATGTCATTGCAATATCCTTTCTCGCATGCTCGAATAAATTGCATAGTGGCCCCGATCCAGTCCTCTAGGGGCACAGCGGCTGGCGGGCTCCGCAGCTCGTTGTTGCCCAGGCGCTCGGCCACGGCTCGGATGCACTTCTTGTACAAGCGTAGTCACCCCAAGGCGGAGGACGGGTCGCCCTGGAGCGCGTCGAAGCAGTCGTGCGCGAGGCGGCGCGGGAAATCCTCACGCTCCAAGGCGAGCCTGGATACGTTGCGCTCGCCGGCTGGGAATTTGCACGGGGCGCGGCGGGAGAAGAACACAGCACGGTGGTGCGATAAGTCGTGGCGCCACTCGAGAGCAGACGCCTGGGGCTACCGATCAAGCTGTTCAGCCACTTGCTGGCTGCAATAATTGCGGTCCAGCCGGGAGAGTGCACTGGCCGACGCGCGCGTAGGCCCCCCCTGGTACATCTCGTGGAGGGCAAACGGGGGTCCGAGGACAGACCAGAAATGTGCTTCCTCCCCCCGCCACGTCGACCAGAAGCTCCGCCCGAGCCGACGGACACCCTGTCGCCGGAAGAGGTGACGAGATTGAAATCACCGCCGAAGATCGTGAGCACGTCCTGGGAGCCGGTCAGACCATCGGCGATCCCGGAGCGGAGCAGCGCCCGGAGGGCGGGGAAGGAGGAAATCGAAGATCTGAAACGCGGGTCCAAACCATGGAGGTCGCGCTCCGTCAGATCTGAACCCGCGTGGAAGTACGAGACCACAATGTCCAGGGAGCCGAGCGGGCCCCGTAACAGGAGCATAGCAGCGCGGCCGCGCCAGATGTGGACGAACTTAGGGCTGGCGTCAAAGAGGTTCAATAACGTACTCCTCGCCGCGATCCCGACCCCCGCATGACCAGCGGTGGCGCCCTGAGACCAGAGTGCCACGGTGCCTGGAGGGGGACGCCATGTGCTGTTGCCCTCCTCGGTGCTGTGGGTCTCCGTGAAGAGCCCGATGTCCGCCCTGCCCATGAGCGTGGACACGCAAGGAGCCCTTGGCAACGTGTCTGAACGGGTCCGACGTGAAAAGGGCCTGCGTGTTCCACAGCGCCACCAAGAAGTCGCCAAACAATTGCCCATCCCGGCGGGATGTCGATGCTGGCAAAGGCGCCGGAGCAGATCGAGGAGGGGGGTAGATGGGGACGGTAGCGGCGGCGCCGACGGCACGAAGTAAGCGCTGGCGTCGGTAGATGTGGATAGGGAAGTCATGCAAGAAGTCATTTGTCGTGCACTCGGGGAGCAGCTTCGTGTCCCCGAAAGTCAAAGGAGGTAGACGTGGGAGAAGACGATCGACTGGGCGGTCAGCAACGCGTGGTGCACCAAAGGGAAGAGGGGGAGCTGGGTGATGACCCGAACCGTAGCGGACAACACGAGTACACTCGGGAAGCTCCGAAATCAGCCGGAAGACAGCGAGGGCGTAGAAGCTCTCGTGGCCCAAATAATCAATGCACCGAATTCCAAAATCACAGCCCGTCACAGCCCGTCTGTGAGCGATGCCCCGGAAGGCCCTGGGGGCGGAGAGCATGTACTGCCGACCCCTCGGGCCGTTTCCCTGACCAGCACCGAGGGCGAGAAAATCGCTGCAAACTTCAATCCCGATCATGCCCTGACCGATCTTCACCGCCTGGCCGTGGAGCGCCGCGTAGATATTCCTGATATCGCCAGCGTTCTTGGCCAGGGCCTTGATGGCCCCAGAGGGGGCGGGCGCGTCGCGGGAAGCCAAATGGAAGAACTCTCCGGGCTTGGGGTGCTCGCTGTCCACGGCTCTGGATAGCAAGAGGCTCGTGAATCCGCACGCGTGGTTCATCAGGCGGTCGAGCACGACGGCATCTTGTCGGCCGAGGTCGCCCTTGACGATGATGTCCGCGATGCAGTCTGAGATCGAGGCGGTTTTGGCGCCCCGCCGTTTCTGGGCAGCCAACTGAGACGAGGTGGCAGAAGGAGTTGCGAAAACCCGGCCCCCGTTGCGAGAGGACTTCAGGCGGGTGGCTGCATTGTCCTTGTCGGCCTGGCAGATTTTGTCCAAGACACTCACCCACGTCTCAGCCGAGGAATCGGAGAAGACCGAGAACCTGGAGGCCCCGAGGGGCAGCATCTGTGAGCACAACGGCCAGTAGTGCTGGAACACGTTGTGCCCGTTGCACTCCAAGATCATCGCGTCCGCGGAGCACGTCATTATGCGAGGGATCTCCTTGCTGGAGATTGGGCTCCGCCGGTGGCATCGAAAGGACGCGCCCTACAGACACTGCAGCTGGCCCAAAGCCAAAAAAGAAGTGAGCTTGTCCACAACCATGTCAAAATTAACGACGGCGAACTCGCCAACCTGCAAGATAAAACCCATGTGGATCATGCGGGGAACGCCACGGGGACCTGCGTGCCACGCAGAGAACATGGCGAGGCCACACCTGTCGTGCTTCGGCGAGCCGTAACGGCCAGGCATAATCATCTCGAAAAAGAATGGCACGAACGCTATGTCCCGGACGATCGCCATCCACCTCTCGGATAACGCCGGGGAGGACCATATGTCAGTAATGCTGCGGACCGAATTCATACCTGCGGTGCACGGCATGGTGGACAGGAAGATCAACGTGGCCGGCCGAGCGTCTTCAGCCGTACTTCGGAAGAACGACGCGAGGCACCGGGAAAGCGCACTAGCGTCGGACGGAGCCCACATGACCACGTGCTTCCCGGCCACGGTGTCGCAGACCCTGTCGTCACCCTTCTCCGCCAGGGTCGCCAGAGCCTGGGAATAAGCGACTGACGCCACGGGCGGAGATGCGCAGCGAAGCATGTCGGACCACTGCGTGTAGAGCTGGAGGTCCTGGACCTGCGCGTTGGAGATGGCCATCTTGATCGCGTCGTTGCCCAGCTCCTTGTGCAGCGGGAGATTGGCGGACTTGATCCGCCGCCGAGCCTTTAGCACCGCTGGCAATTCCTCCACTGAGGGCCAACGTGAGAAAGGCGCGAGCCAAACGCCCACGGGAGGCCAACCCCTGTTCGGAGGGATCCGGGCCGTCCATTTTCGCGAATCTAAACATCTCCCATGGGTCCGTGGCATCAGGGCAGAAACCCAACTTCGCGAGGATGGGCATCAAGGAGATGAGATTGTCTGGGTACTCGATCGGGAGGGCCGCCATGGAGGGGTCAGAGACGCCAGCAGCCTGCGCGAGCGAAGAATGCTGGATGATCCCCTCCTCCACCCAGTCACGCAGTGGTTCCGAGTAGAAAGACGGCATCACCCCCCGATCCTCCTCCGCGACTTCAATGCTGTCCAGGTCCTGGCTGTCGATGCGCAGGTCCCCGACGTTCTGGGAAAGACCAGTGGGCACCTCCTGAGGGACAGCATGTCCAGGTAGTCCCCGACCGCAACGTCGGCATCTGCCCTGTTCGTCGGCCATCGCGCAGCGCGCCGAAGAGCGGACAGTCCGCATGCGTGCAAGCCATGTTGTAAGAGGATTGAGAGATGTGAGGAGATGTGAGGGGGGTGCCTTCTGAATCACTGATCTTGCAAGCTTGAATCACTGATCTTGAGCTAAAGTTTGGTGTCACCTCACTTTCCTTTGTAAAAATACCGCGTGCGAGCCACTAGGGGGACACTTCAATTGAACAGAACAATTGTTACCGGAAGGGAGGGATCAACAATACTTAATTCTTCTTCAGACATGAGAATTCGACGACAACAACAACAGCAACAACCACAGCAATAGCAACAACAACTATAACAACGTAAACAACATAAACCACACAAACTACAACAACAACCATGTTAAGACTGTTCGCTCTGATACGCTCGCATGCCATTCATCACGTATTTCACAAGCCCTCGATATCCGCCCTCTTCGTCTTCGATCGTACCCCCTGGGGGACATCTTCCTTACCTGCAGCGCGCCTGTCGTGCAGCCCCTCTGGCAGGGGAAGGGAGGACGGATGGAAGGAAGGGACAAGGGGAAGGGAGGAGGATGGATCACGAGAGAGAATAGCAAGAAGGGGGCGAGGAGCAAAAAACACGTGGCAGAACCAGACGTGCAGATCGAGCGGGTAGACCCTAACGGACGGGTCCGGAAGGCGGACCCAGACGGCCAGGTCGAGCAGGCGGGTTGCTGAAGCGTGCCTCCTGCATGAATCGCGAGGCAGTCTCGAGCGAGCGCGATGAGGAAATCATCAGGGCAAGCGTGGTTCTTGAGTGACGAGAGCGCGGCGTCTATATAAATTGCAAGGACGTCCCACGCGAGAGCGCGATTCCTGCATAACTTGTGAGGAAGTCACGCGCGAGAGCGCCACTTGGGAATACATTCCGAACAACTATCAGGCGGTAGCCGTTGTTGCGGTAAACCGGGGGTCAGGGGCGCAGTTTGGTAGCACCTCGCTTCCCCTTGTAAAAGAAAACACCGGGAGAAACACTACAATTGAAACATGCAATCGATACCGGGCAGGGGGGGGTAAAAAAACGTATTCTTTAAATATGAGAATTCAACCACAACCACAACCACAACAACAACAACAACCATTTTAAGGCTGTACGCTCTTACTTGCCCGCGAGTGATTCAACACGTATACCCTACACCCTCGATGCCCGCCCTCTTCGTTTTCGATCACACCCCTTTCGGGGGGATTATTTCTCTTTGCTGGGGCCGGCGGGCTTAGACGTACGGGCAAACCGGAACGGGCGGACAATCCTTCGGGGGCGTACATCTCTCTGCCCGCCATTGGAATTGGCGCGGGCCCTGCAAGAGGAGGAGGGGAAGAACGAGGGAGAGTGGGAGGAAGGGGAGGGGGAAGGACGAAGGAAGAGGGATGATACCACGTTGTGAAGGCGTCCTTGGGCGTGCGTGGTTCCTGAGCGCCGAAACGCAATTCCAGAATAATTTGTGAGGACGTCGCACGCGAGAGCGCAGTCCTGAGTACATTGTAAGGAAATCTCGGGCGGAAGCGGGGGCCCTGACTAAGTTGCGAGGAAGTCTCAAGCGGGAGCGCCGTTCCTGAGCAAATTGCACGGAAGTCTCAGGCGGGAGCGGGGGTCCTCACTAAATTGCGAGGAAGTCTCAGGCGGGAGCGCCGTTCCTGAGTCAATTGCGCGGAAATGTCAGGCAGGAGCGGGGGTCCTGAGTAAAATTCGAAGAAGTCTCAGGCGGGAGCGCCGTTCCCACGTAAATTGCACGGAAGTCTCAAGCGGGAGCGGGGGTCTTGATTACATTGCGAGGAAGTCTCAGACGGGAGCGCCTTTCCTGAGTAAATTGCGCGGAAGTCTCAGGCGGGAGCGGGGAACCTGAGTAAAAATTGAGGAAGTCTCAGGCGGGAGCCGTTGTTGTTGTAGCCCGGGGGGCAGGGGCACAGTTTGAGCAGGAAGACTTTCCTTGAGAAAAAACAAGGTGCGAGCCCGGGGGGTGGCACTTCAATCGAAAAAAATCAATGTGCACCGGTGGGGGGGGATCAACAATAATTATTCTTCAAGAATGAGAGTTCAACAACAACAACAATCATTTTAAGACTGTCCGCTCTTATCTGCTCGCGTGCCGTCCAACACGTATATCCAAAACCCTTGATACCCGCCCTCTTCGTCTTCGATCGAACCCCCTAAGGGTACATCTTTCCTACCTGCAACGTGCATGTCGTGCAGCCCCTCCAACAGGGGAAGAGAGGACGGATGGAAGGAGGGGACAATGGGGGAGAGAGGAGGATGGAGCACGAGAGAGAGAGAAAGAGAGTAGCATGAGGGGGGGCTAGGAGCAGAATGCCCCCTTATGCCCGCCCCCCCAGCGCTTCCTTCTGGGCCCCCCTCCCCCCCCGAAAGAAACGCACACTAACAAATCCGCTGCCGAAGCTATAATTTCCTGCAAATGCGGCCAGAATCCCTTGCACTGAATAAAACGCGGCGCACATAAGCCCCTGCAAATCATGCGATCCTCATCAGAAGATGCCATCCCGTGCGCGCCTACGCGCGCATGTCCCAGGCGCTCCCAAGCGCTCCCCAGTCCTTCTGTGGCGTTCCCAGGCGCCCCCAGGTGCCCAAAACGTTCCAGGCGCTCACCAAGCGTTCCCAAGCGCCCACCAGCTCCTGCGGAAGGCGCTCAAGATTCTCAGGCGGTCCCGAGCGCCGCCAGGCGCCTCGAAGCGTCCCCAGGCGCCCCCTGACGCTGCCAAGGCGCTCCCAGGCGCTGCCACGCACCCCAAAGCGCTGCAAAACGCCCCCCAGGATGCGCATCCGCAGGTTGTTCCAGGCGCTACCGGCGCTCAACAGGCGCTCCCAGCCGGGCGCTCCCGACCTCCTGGGGAAAGTTCGTCAGACCCTCGCACGCTCCCAGGCGTCCCCCATGCGTTCCCGAGCGCCTCCGGGCGCCGCGAGGCGCCCCTAAGCACTCCCGCGTTCAGGATCTCGATAAGTTACACCGCGCAGCGAGCTTCTTCGCTAGTCGCAGGGCGCTTCTGCGCATCAGCGATAACGTCCTCCGCGAAGAATGCCGGCGCGATCTCTACCCTTGCGGGTTCAGAGCCGCGCCCGTGCCCTTTCCCGGGGCCGCCACGTGGAGGCTGGACATGGCCCCCGGGTTTCCGCGCGGCGGCACGCAGGCGGTCGAGGTCTGGTCGGGCGCCAAAACACACGAACCAAAGATGGCGGACATCGCGAAGCGCAGCACCCAGCGACGCGCCAAGCTGGAGCATCGCCAGTGCGTCGGCCAGCCGCTGCGGAACACGACCCGCGAATCGCCTCGCACTCCTGCGTCGCATAATCGCTGCATCGGCCTTCGAAACGCTGCCTGGGCACTGCGCGCCTGAGCCCGCGCCGTCTCTCCAGTGGGCATCCCCTGTCGTCGCTGAGAGCGTTTCGCGTCTTGAGCCATTGTCTGAGGGCGCAGTAGTAAGGACGGACAACGCGAAGCTCAGTGACGTGCCGAGCTGCGCTGCGCATCGCCAGTGTATCGTCGGTAATCTGCTGAGGGGACCACCCAACTGGTCGCATGGGCCCTGTCCCGCACCGCCACTGCATCGACCATCGAATCGTTGCGTAAACGCTGCGCACGTCGTATCGCGCTGAGTCATCGTCGTCGACGCGTTGACTTCTGTATGTCACGGGCGCCCAGCAGGCTTCGAGTGGAGCTAGTGGTTCCTAAACCCTAAAGCCTAAACCAAGGCTGCAACCTAATAACTAAGATACGATCGAGATGTAAATCATAGAAAAGCCATTCGGTCGCCCCTTACGCGCCATCGCCCTCCCTTCCATTAATTGCCCCTTTGACGAGAAGAGTTGTCTCGGCCAGAATCCCTCTGCCAAGCATACAACGCGGTGCACATAGCCCCCCTTACATGTCCCTTTGCAGCAAATGCTGTTTCTGCACATGCGGCAATAACCCCTTACACAAAAAGTACCACGCGGCGCACATAGGCTCCAGCAGCTTATGCGACCCATACCACCAAATTAGATCCCGTGCGCGCCTGCGCGCGTTTATGCCCCAGGCGCTCCCAGGCGCCCCACAGGCCCTCCCAAGCGCATCCAGGCCTTCCCATGCGCTCCCTGGCGCCCCACGCGTTCCAGGCGTCTCCCAAGCGTTCCCAGGCGCCCCGGACCCTGGGGAGGGCGCCCAAGACTTTCACGCGCTCCCGGATGCTCCCCAGGCATCCGCAGGCTGGTCCAAGCGTTCCAGTGAGCATCGTTTAAGCGATCCCCATCCCCAGCGGCGTGGCGTGGGCCCCACTGGCCTTACCCCCCTTGATGGGGATATAGTAAGGGCGCGCCGCTGGATCTCCCCAAGGGGGAGGGGTTGGGACCCCCCCCCTTTCCCGGACCGTCGTCGGGGACCCCCCCCCCTTTCCCGGTCCGTCGTCGGGGACCCCCCCCCCTGCAAAAGGGAGGGAGGGGGTCCGACCCCCCCGCCCCCCCCCCTGGGCTCGAAATTCGACCCCCCCCCCCCCTTTCGCCACGCCCCCCCTGACTCCAGAACCCGCCCCCCCTACCAACCCTAACCCGAATCCTCACCCGAACCCCAGAATCGAAACCCAACCCCTAACCCTAGCCCCAAACAGTACTCGGTACGCACGACTCACTACCCACTACCCACTACTCACTACTCACTGCTTCCTGCTCACCACACCCTACCCACTACTCACCACTCTCCACTCTATAACCACTGCTCCCTATTCACTACGCACTACTCACTGCCCACTACTCACTACTCCCTACGCACAAAGCCCTATCCATGACTCAGCACTCACTTCTCACGACTCACTACTCACTACTCACTACTCTCTACTCGCTATTGCCTTCACAATACTCGCTACCGTCTACTCACTACTCACTACTCGCTACTCCCGTCTTGGTACTCGCTGCTCCATACTCACTACTCACCACTCACAACTCACTACTCACTCCGCACTACTCAGCACTCACTCCGCACTACACACGATTCATTTCTCACTATTCACTACGCACTACTCACTATTCACTACTCACTATTCATTACTCGGTACTCACCACCCACTACTCGCTACACCCTACTCGCTACTGGCTACCCGATACTCCCTACTCACCACCCACAACCCGCTACTCACTACTCAGTAACCATTACTCACAATTCAAAATCCCCCACCTACTAGTCACGAGTCACTAGCCACTAGTCACTACTCACTACTCACCACTCACTGCACAGTAACTCACCACTCACTACTCACTCCTCACTACTCAGTACCCACGACTCGCTACCCACCTCTCGCACCTCATTACGCACTACGCACTACTCCCTACGTACTACTCACTGCTAGCTACCCACTACTCACTACTCGCTACCCCCTACCCGCAACTCGCTACTCACTACTCACTACTGCCTACTCCCTACTCACTACTCACTACCCACTAGTGGCTTCTCACTAACCACTCTAGTCGCTTCTTCCTGCTACTCATTTCCCACCACCCGCTACCCACTACCTACTACTCACTTCTCACTACTCATCACTGAGTACTCACTACCCACTACTCACTACTCACTGGTGACTACTTCCTACTACCTACTCACTACTCCCTACTCTCTACTCACTACTCACTACTCACTACTCACTGCTCTACGCACTACGCACTACCCACCAGTCACTACTCACTACTCACCACCGGCTACTCACCATCCACTATTCACTACTCACTACTCCCTACTCAGTACTCACTACCCTATACTCAACACTAACTACTCATTACTCACTACTCACTACTCACTACTCAATACTCACTACGTACTACTCTCTACTCAATACTCACTACTACTCACTACTACTCATTACTACTCACTACTACTCACTACTCACTACTCAATACCCACGATTATTCTCTACTCGCTCCTCACTACTAACTACTCCGGTGCAGAACGGAGCAGCGGGAGAGGCTCCCATCCCGGCTCTCTGTCCGGCGCCCGGCGCAATTAAAGGGGGGGAGGGGGGAGGGGTTCGAACCCCCCTTCCTTTCCAGCGCCAAGAGGAGGGGGGAGGGGTGAGGAGGGGTTCGGAACCTCCCCCCCCCACTTTTCAATTACAGGGTGATCCAGTGGCGCGCTTTCGGATATAGGCCGTTCCCTTCGGGTTTCGAAGGGTGTATCCCCAACTGGGGTGGTAATTTGGTGGGGGTCTCGAAGGGGATGAGGATGGGGATGGGGGTTGGTCAAACGATACTAATCCAGGCGCTCCCCAGGCGCTTCCAGCCAGGCGTTCCTGAGCTCTTGGCGAAGGCTCGCCGGATTCTCGCGCGCCCACTGGCGCTCCCCAGGCGTTCCCGAGCGCTTCATGATCTTGACGGATTGCACCGCGCAGCGAGCATTTTCGCTAGTCGCAAGGCGCTTCTGCAACAGAGACGGCCCCGGCCATGGCGCTGCGGAACACTACGCTCGGGTCGCCTCTCGCTCCCGCGCCGCATCACCGCTGTATCGGCCTTCGAAGCGCTGCCTGGGCACTGCGCGCCTGATCCCGCCCTGTCCCGCTCCGCCACTGCATCGGCCATCGAATCGCTGCGTAAACGCTGCGCACGTCGTATCGCGCGAGGTCATCGTCGTCGACGCGTTGACTTCTGTATGTCATGGGTCTTGGGTGGGTGGGACACGTCCAACAGGCTTCGAGTAGGACTATTGGGCCCTAAACCCTAGGGACTGAACCCCAAACCTTACCCCTAATTGCTGAAGTTCAGGGTTGCTGAAGCGTGAGTGCAGTAAGAAAGTCCGACCCGAGAGCGCGATTCCTGCATCAAGTGTGAGGAAGTCCCACACGAGAGCGCGAGTCTGGAACCATTTGTGAGGAAGTATCAGGCGGGAACCGTTGCTGTTGTAACCGCGGGGGCAACAACGAAGTTTGAGCAGGAAGACTTTCCTTGATAACAAATCAGGTGCGAGCCCCGAGGGGGGCACGTCACTCGAAAAAAGCAATGTGCACCCGTGGGGGAGATCAACAATCATCATTTTCAAGAATGAGAAGGCACCAACAACAACACGATCAACAACAACAACAAGCGGTTGCCCAAACTCTGCCGAGTCTCCGGGGAGGTCTGCCCTGGCCGTGCCTGGGTCCGTGCCGTCCACGACAAAAGCGAACAGCGGACACCCGTATACCCACAGGAAGGTCGGAGGGAGGAGGGCTGGCTTTGGGTAAGGGTGCGGGCTGTCTCAGTCTGCAACACGCACTCATAGCCTCCTCCGCCCCCCATGTGGGTATGTCAGCGGCGAGCCTGTGGGAAGTGAGAAGGGGCCGGCCTTCTCTGAAGGCTCGTAAGTCCCCCAGTCTTCTGATACACGTTCTCAGCCTTCCCCGAAGACGCAGAACACTTCTCAGAAGGCCGGATGGCTTCTGAGAAGCGCCGCCGCCTTCTGAGAAGGCCTTCTCCTTCACACGTCTCCCCCTCGCTCGTTGCCGCGCATTGGTGTGTGTGTGTGTTGCGTGTATTGTGTATTGTGTGTGTGTGTTGTGTTGTGTGTTGTCTGTGTTGTGTATTGTGTGTGTCGTGTGTGCTGTGTGTGCTCTGTGTACGTGTGCGTGTCCGCGTGTGCGTGTGTGCGTGTGCGTGTGTGCGTGTGCGTGTGTACGTGTGCGTGCGTGTAGTTGTGTTGTGTTGTGTTGCGTTGTGTTGTGCTGTGCTGTGCTGTGTTGTGTTGTGCTGTGTTGTGTTGTGTTGCGCTGTGTGGTATATATGGTGTTGTGTTGTGCTGTGCTGTGTTGTACCGTGTTGTGTTGTGTTGTGTCGTGTCGTGTCGTGTCGTGTCGTGTTGTGTTGTGTTGTGGTGTGTTGTGTTGTGTTGTGTGTGCGTGCGGGCGCGCGTGTGTGTGTGTGTGTTGTGTGTGTGCCGTGTCGTGTCGTGTTGTGTCGTGTAGTGTTGTGTGTTTGGTGTGTGTGTGCGTGCGTGCGTGTGCGTTGCTCGTTCGTCACAGCAGGCGCCCTCCCTGCAGAGCAGTGCGCGGCTCGGCCGAGTTGGGCCTACCATACAACTCGGGCCGCGAGCCTTTCGCGGCGGCCGGAGGCCTCCCCGGGAGCGGAGCGCGGGCAGAGGCTCCCGAGCGCAGTCGCCCGCTGCCCACCACTCCTCCTCGTCGTCGTGCGTCCGCCCCTCTTTCCCTTCCCTCCCTCCCTCCCTCGTTCCGTGGTCCCCCGTGCTCCTCGCCCGCTCGTCCTCATTCGGCTCCTCGTCCTCATCCTGCTCCTGCTCCTGCTCCTGGTCCTCCTCCTCCTACTCCTCCTCCTCCTCCTGCCTGATCATCCTCCAGCGCTTGCTCCTACAACTGATCCGAAGGTCGTCGTCCTCCTTCTTCTCCTCCTGCTCCTCCTCATCACCCTCCGCCTTGTCCTCTCTCCCCCTCGCCCCACGCTCATGGGAGAAGGCCTTCCCAGGACGCTCGTCAGAGCAAAATAGTCAAAATATAGCAGCATCCCTGCTCCCGCACTTTGGAAGCTACACCACAAAGGTCATGCCATGAGGCAAAAGTTCCGAGCCCCTTGTCTCGGCCTACGTCGATCGGTTTCCCATGCGGGCGGGCGCCTCAGTTCAAAGGAAAATTACCACAATGCGACACGCTGTATGGATCCGCCAGACCCCCTTGAAGCTGTCATTGCACCAATCCCCCATTGGCTCCCCCTTCTGAAACAAACCGTACGCCACACCGCCGCATCGAAACGACCATGCACCAATGTTTCGGCCTTAAAGTATGAAGGCTCGATCCAAAAAATAAGCCCAAAGAGACTTAGAAGGAAGGATCCGGATCGGGTATGCCCCCTCGACCCCACTACCTCGCTCCTCAGAGAATGGGAGCGCGAGCGAGGTCAAGGCGCGGAGCAAAACAACATACGACGAAGGATGAGGCAGGCACCCAGAGCCACATACAGCGGAACCCGCGAAACCGGGGCATACAGCATCCCGCAGACGTATGGTTTCTCTTCTTTCTCCAGGCAGACGTCGACCGCTTAACAAAAGTAGCGTTCGAGGCCCAACGCGGTCGACTCAACGCAGGGAGGACCTGAGGGGAAAGATTGCGCCGGCAGGCGAGGCCCCGTCCGAAAAACAAATGCACTGCAACACTCCCCTGATAAAGCAGCACCGTGCCATCGAAAGCTGCGGACCCCGCGTTTAGCCTAACCCTTGCCGCGCAGCCCACAACAAATCCCTGCACGACTGTCGGACGAAAGAAGCCAGGACAAGTGAAACTTCCGCGTCAAAGGTATTGTTCAGCAATCGTGGAGACCTTCACGCTTGCGCCCGTCTGGCTGGGCGCTCCGATATCTGACTTTGCAGGAAGGGGGTATGTGCTCCCGATGTGCCAAAGTACGATCAATCTGGTTGCAAGTAGCGCGACACCGCCAGGTGACTTTTGATGATGCGTCATCGTTGAGCGGCGGTCCCTTAACAATTCAGAGGCTCCTTCCCCAATCAATGCTTGCACTGAAGGGGTCCTAGCGGAAATTGAAAAATTAGGCGAAAAATGTCCCGCCGATTTTGGTGGACGGCTGGGTTCCCGGGTTCCCGGTTCTGGGTTCCCGGGTTCCTGGTCATTGGTTCCGGGCCGATTTCGGTGGGTTCCGGGTTCCCGGGTTCCTGGGTTCCCGGTCGATCTCCTTATCGATCTCTTTATCGATCCTTTTTCAAACCTTCCACTGATTGGGTTTTTCTCTGGTGTAATTGGGTACTCTTTGTCGAGTGGCCACGTCAAAGGTGACGGGCGCGCTGGGTTCTTGGCTGAAGGCCTCCCCGCCTGCGCACCTGGATGCGCTGGTTTCTGCTTCGGAGGGAAGGGGACGGCCCTTCGCGCTGCGACTTCCGTTCTGCCGCGTCAATTGAGACGGGACTTGTGGTGCGCCAATCGGCTACACGTACAAGTGACCCTGTTTAAGAGTGACCTTTGGTGCGCGGCTTTTTGGGGGCCGCGGGGGGGCCAAACCTGGGCGCGCAAGCCGCTGCTACCGCTTCGTTGTCAGACATCTGAGGACCCATCTGTGCCCGCACCAAAGGTCACGAGGCGATCCCAGTCAGGAGGCCAAAGTTTCCCAGGCGGGGCCGTTCCCGCCAGAAGGGCCCACTGAGGACCCCGATGGGCAAGCAAAGCTGCCTGAAAGAGGCCCCCAACCCCCAAAAGGCACCTGATGGGCCCCCTTGGAGGTCCCGAAGAGGTCTCAAAACGAAGACAGAACAACATGCAGCGCTGACTCCATGCCGCGGTACAACGTTCAGGCACAGCCTTCACAATCGCTGTGGCGGACACGCGCGGTAGCGCAAGTTGATAGTGGATTCTGAGCACCGATGTGCCCTTCGAGTACTCGTGCGTGAGCGGCGGAGAGATTAGGAGCCGTGAGCCAACCCCCGCAATCGTATACTTGTGGGCGAAGTCGTTGTCCTCGTGGAAGAGTTCGATCGTGTCGCCAACCTTGAAGCATTCGGGGTTTGTCACTTGAAGGTAAGTGGCACCTCCTTCAGCATCCTGCTGGAGGAAGAACAAGTATTTCATGTCACTTGCAGCGTCCTGGGGGCGAGGGCAACTCAAACGGCAACGTGAGCAAACCAACACATTGCGATGACAACGTGAAAACTGTGTTTGCGCAACAGCCACCAGCAAAACCGACCGACCCCCCCCCCTGCATGGATGCAGTGCCACGCAAACTGCGCATGGTGCTGCCTACTCATGCGTTGCAGGTGTGAGAGGTGCGATCAATGTGGCGCAACGCATGAGATGCACCCTGAGTTGTGCAAGCCATGTGGTACAAGCTATGTGGTGCACATTTTCCCACAAGCTCAGCGCCCACCCGGCCGCCAGCCCGCACCGTGCACCAGGCGCAGGGCGGCGGCGCGGTCCGCCGCGGCGCTCCCAGCGCGCCGCGTGCCAGCCAGCGGCACCGGCAGCAGCCGAGCAGACAGGGCGGGCTCGGCCTCGCCGTCCGCCCCGGCCGGCTCCGGCGAGCTGCCGCGGGGCGTCGCGTCGCGCCAGGAGTACGTGTTTGGGGTCGACGTGGGCGACGCGCACACCCCGTCCGACCAGTCTCGCAGGGCCACCGAGGTTGTCTCCGAGCTCCGCGAGGCGCTGGCACAGGTCGAGGGCACGGTTTCGGAGCTGACCCTGCTCCGCAAGTGCGCCGACGTGCGCAAGGTGGTTTCATTTGTTGCAAGCCTCGGGCCCCTTGGATCGACCCCGCGGTGCTGGACGATTGCGACTCCATGTTGCGGCGGTCGTTGGTCGTTGGTGCAGTGCCTCTGCGGGGACCTGTACGACCTGTCCGTGGCCCAGTGCGCCGTCGGCGTCTCGGAGGGCGGGCTCGGGGTGCGGCGCGCCGCAGCTACGGCGCTCCCGGCTTTCGTGGCGTCCCGCGTCGAATCACGGTGGCTGGTAGACCTGCTCGTGCAAGGCGTGTCTGTGCCCGGGGTCGGGCCCGAGGGCATGCTCGCCGTGTGCGACGCGAGCGCCGAGGCGAGGTTGGCCCTCGAGGCGTTGCTCCCGGCGGCCGCGGCGGCGCGAGCCCGGGACCTGGTGCCGCAGGTGACCGAAGCACGCAGAATTCCTGAGGCAGCGCTCGCAGGCGCGAGGCGCCATCCCGACAGGTTGCAGGCGGCCCTGTGCGCCGTCCAGGACGGGTTGGCGGTTGTCCGCCTCCTGGAGCAGCTGGGCGCGCCCGCGCTGCACGATCGCCGCCGGCGCTTAATTACTAGAGCTGCGCGATTTCGCCGCGTCGAACGAGTGGCTGTGGCGGGTATAGCGCGCACGCGGGCCAGTCGTACCCAGGAGCGACTTCCAGGTGGCGGTCCAGCTGCGGGTGGGCGCCGTCTGCACCAGCCCAACCGCGCTCTGCGCCCGGTGCGGCGCCTCGCTCGGGGCGACTGGCTCCCACGCCCTCTGCTGCGCGCTGCCAGAAACCACCCGGGGGCACTACGACGTCCGGGACGAAGTGCTCCGATTGGGGCATCTGGCAGACCCAGTCGCCGCGACGGAAGCCGTCGGGCTCATTCCCTCCGCTCCAGTACGCTCCGCCCCGCGGTCATCTTGACCTCGGCGGTCCTCCCGGGCCGCCTGGCGGCGCTGGAAAATGGGATTACGAGCCCCGACGCAACCGGCGGGGACGCGGACTGCTGCGACGCGATGTCTCGCTGGAAGCAGGGCGACTGCCGTGAGTACGAAGCCGAACTTCGGGCCTAGGACATCACCTGCCGGCCCATGGTCTGGTCGGCGTGAGCCCGCGAGCACCCGGAGGCCAGCGTGATCGCGATAATGACGCAGGCCGCCAGACGCCGTGGGCTGCGGGGCCCACCAGCTTCTCCTCCAGAGGGCCCGGGGTGCCATTGGCGTCCATAGCTCGTGCGGCAGGCCGTCCGGATGCTGCGGCCGTGCGTGCCGCGCTTCGCGGAGGGCCAGGACGCCGCGCTCCTCGGGGGCTACAGCGACGCCGGCGCCCGGCACGAGCCGCGGGCTGTCCAGCTCCTCGCGGAAGAAGCGGACGCCTGCCCAGCACCCGCAGAGCCCCGCGAGGCGGAGAGGGCGCCAGAGGCCGTGCCTGGCGGGCTGGGCGGCGACGCGGGGGCGGACGAGCCAAGCGGCCCGCGGGCCCGAGCCGACCCAACTTGGCAGCGCGGAGCGGATAGAGCTCCGCGGCCCCGGGGAGCCGCTGGACAGCGCGGGCGGCGCACGATCTCCGTGGCCCAGCCTCTGCGCGCAGCCACAGCAGCAGGCGACCCGACGACGCTCGGGACGCTTTTTGCCTCGGCGCCCCGTGCCCTCGCTGCGCCCCCACACGAGCGCCGGCTGCGTCGAGGGCCCGGGGCACGGCATCGACGTGCTCAGGCCGGCACGCGAACGATCTGCCCATCGCCCAGATACCACACGTCGAAGAAGTCGATCCCTGCTGCGTTCAGCTTTTCCCGGGCGGCGGCCGCGACGCGTACCAGGACGAGCGCGCAGTAGATGGGCCCAAGGGGGTCGTCGTGCGCTGCCCCGCGGTCTACACGCAGAACTCGGCCAGACGGCAGGACAACCCGCCCTGGCGCAGCATGGCACCACCGGGTCCACGCCGCAACCTCCGACAGCAGCTCCTGGAAGGCATCTCGGATACTGCCCCATTCGACCGCCATGGCGTCCGTGCCGGCCTGGAGGCTTCGATCGATCAGGGTGCGGAAGTGAACCAGACTCTCCGTCCCGCCGGGCACGGCGACGCCGAACTGCCGCGCAGTGAGGCAGACCTCCTGGACCTCGGCCTGGTTAGCCCGTATGGATGCAAGCTATGCGATGTGCAACTTATGTAATGCATTCTACGTGGCGCAACGAATTCCAGACTACATGGTCCGAATATTTTGGAAAACCGCCATTGCCGATGTTCGAGCAACCACCCCACCCAACACCCAGCGGCACGTTGGCAAAACTCATATGGCGCAATGACGCGAGGAATCGTCGAGAAAACGCGCGCAGGGCCCGAGCAAAGGAGGGGGGGGCCCAAAGCTACCCCCCAGAGGGGGAGGGACCCCCCCTTAGCTACCCCCCGCCCTTGGACCTTGGACCTCCCCTGACCGAAGTCCCCCCCCCCCTCCTTGCTGGCCCGCGGAAGCTACCGCCACCCCCATACCCCCTTTTTCGCGCTGCCGAAGCTGCCCCCCCCCTCCTTTCCCAAGGGGGGGGGGCCCTTTCGCGCTCAAACTGACGCTGCTATCACCCCTCCTCCTTCCCTCCTTTTGTCATCCTCCATTTGGTACCCTCCCCCTCCCCCCGGGCCTGAAGCCCCCCCCCCCCGTCCCATCCTTTTTGTTCCGCTCCGCGGAAGTTCCCCCCCCCCCCCTTTATCGCGCTGCCGAAACTACCCCCCCCCCCCCCCCCCTCCCCCCTTTTCAAAGAGGGAGCTCCCCCTCTTCTACGCTCCGAAAGCTACCCCCCTCCCCCAACAGGCGGCGCGGCGAAAACCACAGGGGCGCGGAGAGCCACAGGAGCACCAAAAGCCAAAAGGACGTCGAAAAACCACAGGGGCGCCGAAAACCAAAGGGGCACCGAGAACCAAAGGGGCACCGAAAACCAAAGGGGCGCCGACAACCGAACGCGCGCAGAAAATCACAAGGGCGCCCAAGACCAAAGGAACGCCGAACACCACAGAAAACAAAAGGGGCGCCGAAATCCACAAAACCGCCGAAAACCAAAGGGGCGCCGAAAGCCAAAGAACCACCGAACCAAAAGAGCGCCGAAAATTAAAGGAGCGCCGAGAACCAAACTACGCGCCGACAACAAAAAGGGGCGCCGAAAAAACAAAGACGGCAAAGACAACCGAAGGGGCGCCGAAAACCAGAGGGGCGCCGAGTCCCAAAGTGGCGCTGAAAACCAATCGTAGTTAGGAGCCAGGAAAAAAAAAAACACAAGGAATTTCACACAAAGGGTTTTGGCACCACCAGCGGTGCAAAGCATGTGCACACATGCCACTGGATCCCCACCGATCCGAACCAGGGTTGATGCACGGCCGTGCTCTAGGATGCAGTTGACATGTATGGCGTGGCAAGGCTGTCGACGGCGACAAGATCCCAATATTCGCTACCGACCAACATTCCATGGTGGTTTGGCACAGCCAAACAACCGTGCAACGTCAGTTGTTCATCCGTTGACTGCAGCACGCGTCGCGGCAGCAGAACGCACTAGCGCGCTCGGGCATACAGGGCCGGCGACGCGGCTGGCCAGCTGCCAGCGCGAATTCGGCAGAAGAGCCGGAATCCACGTAGGATTGTTTTGGGCGTGGTATCCGGCGCAGCTGCATCGCACTGCCAAGCGCCGCGGCCTTGCGATTGTAGCGCCAGGCCCCGTGCGCTCCTCGAGGCGGGAAAGCAAGCTCTACACAATGGAATCGCGCGTGCTCTTGTGGGGGCGGCGAAAACGATCGTACACAAAGGAAACTCCTTTGTGTGGCCCCCGCGTTGGCAGTGTAACCATGCCGTACACAAAGGAATTACGCGAGACTTCGTGGCACACAAAGGAATTACAGCAACGCCCTTTGGGTTGCGCTCTTCGCGCGCGGTGACGGCTCCGAGCTGGAAAGGAAGGGGGGGCGGGACAAGGCAAAGCAGGGGAAGAGGAAAAGGAAGAGGAGAGCGAGAAAGAAGCGAAGGAAGCAACGGAAGGAAGCCAGGATGCGCGCAAGCGAAACTAACGCTGCGCGCCGAGACAGTTGCTCGTTCGTTCGGTTGGCCGTGCGGCAGATGAATAGAAAAATAATTGTTTGCTGCATGTCGACGGGACTTCTTGGGAATGAGACTCGCGCTCTCTTCCCAACCCCTTTTCCAACACCCCGCTGCAAGCGCGCGACGATTTGTTCTGGCCCGCGGGCAGAGGACTGCCAGTTGCTGGTGAGCGGCCTTTCCACCCGTCACGCGTTCCGAACACATGCGACCAGCTAAAAGCGCTTGCTACGCAGACCGCCAGCTCCAAGCACCGACGCCACCCCGATCCCCGCATCCGTGCCAGGCACCCTCTCAACGACGCCCCCTTCCGTCGCAAAACCAATAAAACCCTTTGTGTTTATGTGTTTTTTCCTGCGGCATCAACTTATGGCTGAGAGCCAGAGTGGGAATCGGGACATGGTTCGTCGCAGACGTCGTGCTGAAGTCGGCGCAAGCGTCAACCGGGGGTCGGCGCAAATAGTCGTCGCGGTTGTCGGCGGACCGTCGATCCCTGCCTCCGGCCGGGTTAACGTCACCACCCCGCCTCCCTCCAGCCGGTCGGGCCTGGATTCGGGGTCGGAAGAAGAGATGGGGTCGGAGTTGGAGAAGTAGCATGAATCGGAGCTGCTGATGGTCGTACTGTCGGCGATCTTCGCAAAGCACATCGGTATGCTGCGCAGTGTCGAGAGTTGTTGAGCATAGCGCTGGCGGAGCCCCCATCGTTTTGTTAGTCGACGTGTCGCTGGGCCACCCCGTCATACTGCGCACCGTCGGAGGGGTCGTCGAGGCCCTCGCCGCCGGGCAGCGAACCAGGCGTGAAGCACCCGAGCGTGATGCCTGTGAGCGAAAGGCACGCGAGCGCGAAGCCAGCGACCGTGGGATCACAGCGCTCTTCTTGGCGAGGCCCACCACCCTGCTCAAGCGACCAGCATTAGCACTCCCAACGCTCCAGTACTCCCATTTCTGCCGCTGTTGTTCAAAAAGATGTTCCGCTTGATGGCCCCCTGTCCAAAGCACAATACAAGAGACAGCAACTCCCGAAAGAAATGGGTGCAAACTATCGCGTCTCCCTGGCCCTTCGCGATGCTAGCAAGGATAGGCATGTACAGCCCCCAAAAAGGTAGCAGTAACACTTTCAGGTGCAAGTCATCAATTCAGGTATGCTGCAAGTGGTGCCGTCAACTGTGCTGCGAATGTCTGTCGTGATGCTCGTCCTCGCGATGCTTACTAGGTCGGCCAGGTAGCCGTTACCAGTCGCCTGCTGGGTAAACGTCACCTCATGAAGCGTGTGATGATGCAGTCGATGTGGTCAGTAATATCGGCCACGCGGCCAGGACGAAGGTTAAACAAATTGCAACCCCCCTCCCTGGCCCAGGGCCATTGTTGGGAATGTTGGTTACGTTTCGTGGGACACGGTCTGAAAGCTGGGCCCATTGTTGATTGGTACATGGCGCAAGTGTCGGTCTGGAAGCTGGTCGTCTGGACATCGGCGTAAGCGTCGGGCTGGGAGTCGGTGTAGGTGTTGGCAAGAGCAAAAGGTAGCGTTGACTACCGGCTCTGATCCATAATACTTGAGCAAGGCGCAGTCGGTGCAGTCGTCGGAGTCGGAGTGGCAATGGTCGGAATGGCAATCGGTGCAGGCATCGGACTGGGAGTTCCAAGTGTTGGATGGGCAATCGGTGCAAACGTTGGACTAGGAATAAGCACAAGTGCCGGATTGGAGGTCGGCGTGGGGGCTGGGGCGGGAGTTGTCTGAGGCATCGGATTGAGAGTCGTCGCCAACGTCCGTCTGAAGTCGGGCAAGTGCAATATTGGGACTTCTATTCAAACGCCGCGCCCTCGACACTCAGGGATCACGCTCTCGCTGTGGATTCCCTCACGATTCACTTGGGAATCACGCTATCGCTCGAGAGTTCCTCGCGATTCATGCAGGACGCACGCTTCAGCAACCCGCCTGCCCCTCGCCCTTTCCTTTCTTCCGTCCTCTCTTCCCATGCCTTCGGGGCTGCACGAAATACACGTTGCAAGTAAGGAAGATATACCCCTAAGGGGGTACGAGCGAAAACGAAGAGGGCGGGTACCGAGGGTTTGGGATAGTCGTGTTGAGTGGCACGTGAGCGGATAAGAGCGAACAGTATGAGTGTTGTTGTTCTAGTAAGTGTTGCGATTGTTCATTTCACATTTATGAACTATGACGATTGCATTTCTCAGATACAGTGTTTCTCCCGGGGCTCGCACCCTGGTTTTGTAAAAGGGGAAACGACATGTCACCAAACTGTGCCCCTGGCCCCCGATTTACATCAACCACGGCTCCCGCCTGATACTTCCTCACAGTTGATTCCCAAATCGCGCTCTCGCGCGGGACGCCTTCACAATGTGTACAAGAATCGCGCCGCGTGGGACTTCCTTCCTCGCCATGTATTCAGACGCCGCGCCCTCGACACTCAGGATCACGCTCTCGCCGTGGATTTCCTGACGATTTATTTGAAAACCGCGCTATCGCTCGATACTTCCTCGCGATTCATGCAACAATCACGCTTTAGCAACCCGCCTGCTCGACCTGGCCGCCTGGGCTCGCCTTCCCGACCCGCCCGTTAGGGTCTACCCGCCCGATCTGCCCATCTGGTTCTGCCACGTGCTTTTCTGATCCTAGACCCATCCTGCTACTCTCTCTCGTGCTCCATCCTCCTCCCTCGCCCTTATCCCTTCCTTCCATCCGTCCTCTCTTCCCCTACATTAGCACTCACTGCACGCTGCAGATAAGAAAGACCAATACTCCGAAGGGGGTACGGTCGAAGACGAAGGGGGCGGGCATCAAGAGCTTGGGATACGTGCTGGATGGCCCGCGAGCGAATAAGACCGAACAATCTTGAAATGATTGGTGCTGTTCTTGTCGTCGTTGTTGCTAATGCTGTTGCTGTTGCTGTTGCTGTTGCTGTTGCTGTTGCTGTTGCTGTTGCTGTTGCTGTTGCTTATTGCTTGTTGCTTGTTGCTTGTTGCTTGTGTGTGTGCGTGTGTGTGGGGGCTGTTTCTTATTTATTGCTTGTTGTTTGCTGTTTGTTGTCGTCGTCCCCCCCACGACCCACGCCGCGACCTGCCCTCGAGCCACCCGCGACCCACCCGCGCCACCCGCGAACCACCCGCGACCCGGCCCGCGACCCACCCGCGACCCCCCCGCGACCCCCCCGCGACCCACCTCGCGACCCACCCACATTGCTCTAATGAGAACATCGGCGCCTGCGGAGAGCTCGTTGTACAACGTGTAAAAATTAGGCGCCTGCGGCGGACTTTGTCAGAGCCTCGCAGACTGCCGACGTCCCCGCCGCCCCCCCTTTCTTATCCACAACTGCGGGGTGCTACGTAAGGAACTGAATGGTTTCCCTGGGTTTTCGACAGGTCACGCGAAATTGCAGTTTGGGGGCCACTTGCGATTCGTGAAGCCCTGGTTGGGCTCTCTGGAGACACTCTTGGAGCCAACTGGAGCCATCTTAGACCCCTATTGGACCCCAACAAGCTTACTAGAACGCCTCCTTCGAAGTCTCGATGTTGTGATGATCCAGCGAAACGCCCGTTGTGGAAACACATGTCCGGCACAACGGGGAGCGATGGTGCTTGTGCCCCTTGTTAGTGATGCTGCCGATTGCCGTCGTTCGCGGCTGCTTGAGGCTGTTCGGCGTAATTCGGATCGCGCTTTAACTCGCCCTCCGACGTTCGCATCCAAGCGAGAATCGCGTCGCGCTGCTCGTCATACAATCAAAGGGTGTTGATTCGGAAATCGGACGCGCAACTCACATTAAAAGTCACCCTCCTGCTCTGATGTCAACAGATAATAGTGTCGCGCTTCCCGTCGCACGTGTGGCTGGGGCCCTTTTACATTTGGGACGTGGACAAATACAATTGGTTCGCACCCTCTATACCCTTTGAAGCCTCAATCGGGTGCGACCCTCACGCACTCCGTGCACCACGGACCTGCAGAGGCGCCCGGCTGGCCCCTCAAGGCGGCTCAAGGGAGACTCAGCCTGGCGTACCCCTCACGCAGCTTGTACCCCATGGGCCCCCACAGGCCATCAAGATGACTCGCGGGAGCCCCATTTCGACACACCCCTCCCGCACTTTGTGGCCCGTGGACCCCCAGAGGCCCCCGGCTGGCCCCAAGAGGCCCCAGAGAGGCCCAACCGCGCCCAAAAAAGGCCACCCAAGGCTCCACGTCACTGCAAGACGGCCCCCACACTCTCCGAAGGGACGCCAAGCGGCCCGACAAGACTCCAGCTCTGCGGGCTCAAAACAGAACGAACTGAAGTCATATTTGGCAGTTTCACTCCTCATCTCTCCTGCCGACTGCTTTGCCCGCAGCACTGCTTCCACCCCTTCGCCCCCCTCGACGCTCCTCCCCGCGAGGAGCCCTGGTTGGACCAGACCAAGCAATCATAATGAACAACCATAAAAGAGGTACGTAGCAAGAGGGGGGAGGAGGGGACCTCCCCTTGTTGGACTGGCCCGTGTGTCCTGACCGCCTGCGGGTTGGGAACCGCCTGTGCTCGCGCTCGGATCGACTGTGGTCGTAACTACTGTGGTCGAAACGGCTGTCGTCGCGGTGCTCGTACTGGTTGCGGCGCTCGTGCTGCTTGCGGCGCTCGAACCGCTCGGGGAGCGCCTCTTCGATGACCCCGTTTCCTCCGCCTGCGGATTTGCGCGGCGGGCGCCCCCCCCAGGCACGGCTGCGGACCCGAACAACGAGCGGGCACATGAGCCCCCCCCCCCCCCGCACAGGCACCTCGATGTGTGAGCACTGCAGATCACCACAGCAAGACTGTCCCTCCACGTGCCACTGGCAAGCGAGGAAAACAACACTCGGGGAGGAGCAGAAAGGAGGAAGGGGACCAGGACAACAAACCAAACATTGTGCGCGGCATTCCTATGACCCACACGGCCACCCCTCAACACCGCACAACGGCAGCCATGAGGGGGGGGACGAGGGGAGAATGGGGAGAGGAGGGGAGGGAAGGATCGAAGACAGAGAATTCAGGCTGAGGGCAGTATCTGGGGCGTTGGCGTGCTTCGCCCTTCCCCATCGGGGCGCCCTCGTCGCAGGGCGACGGCGCCCCCCCTTCCCCGAGTGGCAGCACGGAAAGGACGTGCAGGAGTGCGGACGGGTTAAGCCTGCCATGATCCGCCGAGGGCGGGGCTCCATCCCCTCCTCCTCCTCCTCCTCCTCCTCCACCTCCTCCTCCTCCAACCTCTTCCTCCTCCTCCTCCTCCTCCAGCCTCCTCCTCCTCCGCCTCCAACCTCCCCTCCTCCTCTCCTCCTCCTCCTCCTACCTCCTCCTCCTCCTCCTCCTCCACCTCCTCCTCCTCCTCTCCTCCTCCTCCTCCTCCTCCTCATCCTCCTCCCTCCTCCTCCTCCTCCTCCTCCTCCTCCTCCTCCTCCTCCTCCTCCTCCTCCTCCTCCTCCTCCTCCTCCTCCCTCCTAGCCGTTATGTCTCAGGTTTGCGGCCTGAGCTTGCAAAGCGCCTTCATCAGAACGGCTCGCGCTTGCAGGCCATTCCACGTTCCTTCGAAAGTACCAGCGGCGGCCCCATGAGGCAGCCCATGGTACAGCCGCCGTCCGATGTGCTGCCAGGCGCTCGTACGCCCTACTGGGGGTGTCCGTGTGGCTGCTGGGACAACTGGGCATCGCGGACCAAGTGCCGGACATGCGGACAGTCGGCGCCAGCCAAAACGGTGGCGGCAGCCCGCAGGGCAGCAGCGGCTGCAAAAGAACCCCTCGGTGCCGGCCAAGCCTCTAGCTGCCAGAGGCGCGTGGGCTCAAGGCTCAAGGCCACCCTGGTCACGCGACCCAGTTCCGCCTCATCCAGGAGCTGCGCGTCAAGGTGGCCGAGCTCAGTCGCGAGCCAGCGCCAACAACCCCGCCATGGTACCCGACGTCAACTGGTGCCAAGGGCGGGGGCAAGGGACAAGGTTGCGGCCCTTCAGACAAGGACGACGGCACAAGAAAGGTAGTCCACCTGCCTCGGCTGAGAGCGGGCTCACGTACGCTGCGGTGGACCAGTTCCTTAAGAGGGAGGGCCTGGACACTGCCGGTGTCGAGGCTGCGGCGCAGGCCAAGCCAGCAATGGCGAAGCCCGCAACGCCGATGGCGTCATGGTGGACAGTTGAGAACCTCAAGAAGAAGATTCAGAAGTCACAGACTCGCAGCGCCGAGCTCGAGGTGAAGCGGGCCTCGATCGACGACGAGTTGGCTACGGTCCAGGAGGCCATCGACCAAGCCAGACAGGACTTGATGACGGCCCAGGATGTGCTGACCAGGATTCAGGCGGGCGAGCACGACCACCCCATCGGGGTCCTCACGGCGTGGCTGGAACCAGCTGTGGTGCCCCCGCGGGAGGGCAGGGACGCCCTCGCCGTCTAGGAGGGCGTGCAGAGCCAGGCAGCCGCCGATGCGGCCGCGGCCCAGGCAGCCAACGAGGCAGCGGCTGGGACTCAGGCCACCGGCAGGGCTCCTCCTGTTTTTGGCGCAGCTGGTGCAGGCCAATCTGCTGCTGATATGCCTGTCGACGGCGACGGCATCGATGTGGACCTGGCCAGAGGCGAGGACTTCGCAGCCCGCCGGGCAACCTTCACAACGGCTGCAGAGGAGCTCAGGGTAACCGCTCAGGGACCAACTGAGCAGCATGCAAAGACCAAGCGGGAAGTACCGCGGGGCGGCTGCAGCGCTCGGCGTCGGCCTCAAGTGGCCAGGATAGCAGCACCGCAGCGTGTTCAGGGCTGGGCTGGCGAAGACTCGGTGGACATGGCCGACTTGACAAGTTTCTTGGACTCCAGTGTCGTGGACGAGGAGCGGCCAGAGCTGGGCTTTACAGTGCCATCCCTTCGGTGCCCAGTGGGCCCACGGACTCCGTGCGTCGGGTCGTCGTGGGCGGCTTCTTCACCTGGAAGGAACCGCTGGAGGTCGGGAAGAAGCCGCCAGCATGTGCACCTAGTACCGCGTGTGCTTCAGGGACCTCGGCGACTGGTGCGAATGGGGCGCCCCACAAGCACCGCATCAAGGAGTTGCGAGCAGCCTCCGAAAAATTGCCCGAGTCGGCCGGTCGTCACGGGGCAGCGCCATGTCGGAGTTGGTGTTCGAGTTACTCGGCTGCTCTGCCACGGAGAGCCGCGCAGGTCGGCGAGGCTGCGTCGGCTTCGTCGATGCCGATTGTGCTCCTCCCCACGCTGCGCTGCACACTGAGCCAAACAAAAACACATCGTCAGGACGATCCAGCTCGTGGAGCTGGACTTGTATCTCCCCAGATGGCCAGGCATGTGCGTTCCTCGGGGCTGGGGATAAGTACGGCCCAGAGCGCCAGGTCAATGAAAGGAGAGCCATATGTTTGGGTGTCGCCACCGCGCCCCGACTCCGAGTTGCTAAACGGCCTGAAGCCACGCGTGGACAGCGGAAGAGCGGCAATACAGTGCAGCAAGGGGGTCCTGCTGACGACGGGGACAGTGGCCATGGGCAGGCTTGCCCTATACTCGGATCTGGCGGGCTACGTGCTGGTCTTGCTGGGCGTGGTGATGCCAAGGAGGAGTGCTGGGGTCTGCTGGCGCCACGTGATGAGCAGGGTGCACATGTGGACCCAACATGCGGAGATGGTATGGTATTGCCCCAGCTGGCCATAGACGTGCCTTCCTCTGGGCTGGGGTCAAGTGCCCCCCAAAGTACCAGCAAGCGTGAGCCTGGCAGCCTGTCTTTTTGGTGTGAATTCCCAACAGCTGGAAGCACTTCAAGTCTATGATGGATTGTTGCCAGGACCAAGGATCTGACATCTTCGGTGTTCGCCGTGCAGACGGCAGTGGAGTGCAGCCCCGCAACACAAGTGGAGAATAGACGCGCTTGAAGACCAGCGAGAAGCATCACCAGGCCTACAAGTGGGGAACGCAGCACCAGTGGGATTTGAGTCTCGGGCCAGCCGAGTCGGCAGGAGAAGCAGCGAGCATGAGCTCGGCTGGACCTGTGCTTGGCGTGGTTCCAGCAATTGCCTCCTCGGCTGTAGCGCCTGATGCCCTCGCAAATTTCAAGCCGCGCATCTCGGCGCGTGTGCTCAATGTGGGGCCCCCGCCTGGCCTGACTGTTAACTCCGACTATCTCCACACCAGCATAAGGCACAAGGGTGCTAATATGCAATGCTAGATTGTCTCGGGCAGTATATTTCCAGGGTCCAAAGCATGTGGGTGCTTCAGGCCGATTGGAATTTCACTCTCCTTGAACTCGCCTCGAGTTGTTGGCTAGATAGTGTGCGTGGTGCAAGCGCTGCTGCAGGTCAGCCAACTTGCAGGCACGCCGTTGCTGGGGGCGACGGTGCTGAGCCCAGAGGAGGAAGAGATGATCAGCAGGGGGAAGGAGTTCAGGAAACTGAGAGAGAGCTGGACTGCTTGGTTGGAGTGCGAGTGCTAGGACACTGTGTTCAAGAGGTCCGATGATTTCCGGATGCCCCTGTTCAACCTCACATGCCAGTCGGTCTGGTTCTTACTGGCACGGCCCCCCATAGGCCCATCACCAAGCGAGTACACTTCAAGAGGTTCCCACTAGAGCCAAGTGTAGGACCCAGGAGGGAACTCAAGGAGGAGGAGCGGTCTTGGGAATCTGGGGATCTTGGAGCCGTTCCGCTTCGGAGTGGGGTCAAGGAGTGGTTCACCAAAGCTGAAAATTGGCTTGACGACCTGTTCGATATCGATGTCCAGTCCAGGGATGTGCACTGCGGCAGGGCCCCGGGGCCCAAGACGGTCAAGGTCCCTCTGGCAATGGTTTTGGATCGGGAAGCTCGACGTCGATACTCGGCTAGGACAACGTCGTGGATGTCGTTCCAAGCGCTGGCAGTAAGGACTCTCGACCTAGCGAGGGGCAGGATATGCAAACCAGGACAGGCCCGACTTAGGCAGTGGATCTCCAGGCTGAAGGGCATGGCCCTCAACTTAGAGCGCATCCCCGCCCACGCCATGGGCCAGCCGTTCGTGCTAGACCTGATTGTTTCAATCTCGTCGGGCAGCGTGACCACCGACGGGCTGTTGCAGGAGCTTGGTAGCTACTTGGAGGAGTTGAGGAGAGAGGATGCTAAGGACTCTCTGGGGAAGTGGCAGAAGTGGGCAGCAGAATCAGTGCAGAAGGGAGGTCGTGCTGCCCATGCTTTTTCTCGCAAGTCCTAGACGGATCGCAGCTGCCAATTTCTGGCTCCCATGGAAGGCGTGGACATCACAGTCCATGGGGATGAGGCTGGCCTTGATTGACCAGTGGATGTCGCTCTGGTTTCAGGATCGGGGGGCTGGCCACGAGCGCCCCTCGAAGTGGGATATCCAGGGCGCCGCGTTGTCTCCGATAGAGCTGGACCAGTTGCTCCGGACCTGCAAAGGGTATTCTGAGGCGGCTGGCCCAGAATGGGACGCTTTCCACCCTGAGCTTGTCTTGAGGGTTCCAGAGGCGAACCAGCGTCGGGCCCTGGACCTCCTGCATGGCTTCGAAGAGGCCCCTGATGTGCTCGCCGACCTCCTCACTAACAACAGTTTCTTGGACAAACCTGACGGGGGTGCAAGGCCTATAGAGCTGTTGCGCTTCTCCATGAAGATCTGGTCGAGATGTCGCCAGCCTCTGTGCAAGAAGTGGGAGGTTGAACACCCGGCGTCGGTATTGTGGGGTGCAGGGCCTG